CCAGGCCGGGCGGGGGGCCCCCCCCCCCCCCCAGTGCACAAATTTTTGTGCACTGGGCCTCTAGTATTATAAAATAAAACTGTGAAAGGTAAACTTAAATTTAGTTCATCAAATTATGAATCTTTTAACTGATTTAGGGAATTCTATGATTATTTTAGTCTATGTATCTTAATAATAGATTGCTTTTTTTTTTTTTACTTAGAAGATCTTAAATAAAAATTGAACATAAAATTGGATCAGCTCTAGTCAAATATACCAAGCTATATCAACTTATTCTGAACTAGCAGAAAAGAAAATCTGTGATAAGCATGCTTTCTCAAAATAATATGTACTTATCACTGTTTTATTTTTCAACCTGCTTCATTATTTGCTACACAAAATTTCCATTATACTATAATGAAAACCTTTTATTTCCTAAAATTATATTTTGAGAAGGAAGTTAACTTTTTTCTGATATTTGTATATTGCTTTTGAATGTTCACTTTGTATGACACTTCCTTTATTTACTTAATAGAAATATATGTGCACATTACACATATGTAAGAATTTAATCTGGAAGAATTTACAGCTTATTTTTTAAAATAGCACCTAGACACTTCTTATGGAGATATATATATTTTTACAGCGATATATATGTTAGGCCATGTTACAGCTATTAAAATACGGAAAATAAAAAATAAAAGTTTAAAAAAGTATGGGGAATTTCATTAAGCTTCTGAGTACAATTGATTCTAGAACAACACAGGAGGTTAGGGTTGTCAACCTCCATGAAATAAAAAATTCACATATAACTTTTAACTCCCCCAAAACTCAGTTATTTCTCAGTATTTAAGGGGTTTGGTTCCAAGACCCTCTGAGGATACCAAGTCCATGGATGTTCAAATTCCTTATATAAAATGGCATAGAACAATGCATGCAATTGGCCCTCCACATTTGTGGATATGAAACCCCAGGGAAATGTAGGGCCAACTGTATATTGAAAAAAATTCGTGTGTAAGTGAACCCGTGCAGTTTAAACCCGTTTTCTTTAAGGGTCAACTGTCCTTTAATAAACATAATAATAAAGGTAGGTATTCAGAAAAATTACAGCAACCTTTTAACACATTTGATATTGAAGGAAATAAGCAATGATACATTTGACCAAATAATGACTAGGGGGAAACTAGGAGCTAAAAGAAATTGAGTTTTTCTATATTATTCTTAGAAAGACATAAATAGTATGTTAGGAATGTATTTACTTGATATCCTCTTGTTATTCCTTTAACTTTATCCTGTTATGAAAGCATAGGTACAATTTTTAGTGATTGACTTTTAGTCCATCTAATGTCTCTTTTTGGAATTGATACACACTTAAAAATATATTGAACAAAATATGTAAGTATCCAGCAGAAGACTGTTTAATTTAGGGCAGGACTAGTAATTACAACAACAACAACAAGAAAAAAAGGAATGAAGATCACATTAGTAATTATACTAGGTATCGGTCCCTTTTAGTCTGATTTTTTATGAGTTTCCTGGTTGTGATTTAGGGGTATAATGTATAATATTTCTAAAATGGGAATGCCCCTAGCCACCTTCTTTTTTTTACCTGTGCTTTGGAACCTTACATTTTACTTAGAACAGAAAGAAATGTGGAGAAAAGGCATTCCTATTTTCCAAATATTTTCTGAACTAATTTCCTTTCCTTTTCCAGACCAAGTTTCTTTAGTGGTAGTACATCTTTACCCCTTGGTTTAGGCTGACACTTCACTCATGTTGTGAGTACTACTTCAGATCTCTAATTAAGGGTTTTAAATTCATTTCTCTTTTTTCTGATTCTCATGATTCTCACTCAGGACTGCCTCTTTTCTGGTACATTAAGCAATTTTTGTTTTTGTATTTTTGATGTTCTTTTTTGTTGTTAATCCTGACCCAAGGCTATTTTTCCATTGATTTTTAGAGAGTGTGGAAGGGAGGGGGAGACAGAGAGAGAAACATCAATGTGAGAGAGAGACAGCAATTGGTTGCCTCCTGCATGTGCCCTGACCAGGGCCTGTGATCAAGCTTGCAACCTAGGTATGTGCCCTTGACTGGAATCGAACCTGAGACCCTTCAGTCTGTGGGCTGACACTCTATCCACAGAAACCAGCTAGGGTCATTTTCTATCTTATTGGGCAAGTTTTCCCATTTTTTGTTGTTGTTGTTCTCCAAAATTTTTTTTACTATTTTTCTCTCATTTTTAGTAGTAACAGGCAGTGATACTGTCAACAAAATTTTTCCTTACAGTAGTCACTGATTCTAGATAAAACGATTTATTGCCAACTTAGACATCTGATAGTTCTACTTAACTGTGAGTGCTGTGAGGACAGGAACTATGTCTTATTCCTTTTTGTCTCCCTTGTGTCTGGCACATCATAAGCAAATAGTAAAATTAAAAATAAAAATGAATTTTTTAATTAACATTTTTTATTGATTTTAGAGAAGAAGGGAGAGGGAGTGAGAGAAACATCAATGATGAGAGAGAATCATTGATTGGCTGCCTCCTGCATATCCTCTACTGGGGATCGAGCATGCAACCCAGGCATGCACTCTGACTACAAATCAAACTGTGACCTCCTGGCTCATAGGTTGACACTCAGCCACTGAGCTGCACTGGTCGGGCAAGAATGAATTTATTTTAATTTAAAATGTGGGCCTAGAAGATGGTTCTAAGTGGCTATTTGGCCAGAGGAAGAAACTATTAGATTGTTTGTTGATCATTACAGAATATCCCCTTTGTTGCTACTGAAAACAGTCTATAAACAAATATAATTCTGTCCTAGAGATCTTATGGTATGACTATATACTTTGAAGGAAATCTCATTTATTTGCTAAAATAAGCATCCTATTAAGTTACATTTGGAGTTAAGTAGGGAACAAATTAATATTATATGCACTGATTGTAAAGATGGAAAGACTAAAACGTAAGTGATTATGATGGTCTTTTGACATTAGTGGCAAAATTGAAATTATCAGCCTAATCTTTCTTGTTTAGAAATCTAATTACAATTTGCACTTTTATGGTTTTCTTTCCCTGCACTTCTGATTGCTTGACGCACACTGAAGGAATTGGCAAATTGTCAACTGCTGATGGTAAAGCTTTTGCAGATCCTGAGGTACTCCGGAGATTAACATCCTCAGTAAGTTGTGCGCTGGATGAAGCTGCTGCTGCACTGACACGAATGAAAGCAGAAAACGGCCACAATGCAGGACAAATAGACACGTATGTATTTAATGACTTCTGCTGGATATTAGATGTTTTCTAGAGTGGCAAATTTTGGTTAAATATATCTTTTGGAGGGGCTTATAAATTTTAGTCAAGTGGATATTATACAGGGTGGACAGAAGTAGGTTTACTGTGCCATTGTGATATTCTTTTGAATTAATAAAGCCATTGTAATAATCATAACCTGCATGTCTTTTTGTGTATGAACAACTGTAAACCTACTTTTGTCCACTTTTGTATTTTAAGTTGATATATAAATGTGTATATAAATATGGATGTAAAAATGGATATTATATTTTTATCCTTACATTCCACTCATACTCATTGAGCGTCCTTGTGGAATGTATTATACTAGAGTGTGAGAAAACAAACTGAATAAGATCTGGTTTCCATTTCTAAGGAAGTTACTTTTCCTAATAGTTACAGGAGTAAACTTTAAATTAACTGCTTTGAATAGTAATAAATAAATTGGTTGAAAATTGCTAAGAGAGTAAATCTTGAGAGTTCTCAGCACAACAAAAGAAAAAACCTACTTTTTTGGTATCTAAATGAGATGATGGATGTTAACTAAACTTATTGTAGTCATTTCATAATATGTGTAAGTCAAGTCACCTTAAACATGTACAGTGCTGTATGCCAATTATAGCTCAATAAAATTGGGGGAAAATAATAAATGAAATAGATTGTTAATGCAATAATCTAGGTGCTTGCTACTCAAACATGGTCCATGTACTAGCAGTATCAGCATCACCTCACAGCTTATTAGAAATACAGAATTTGGACCTACTGACTCAGAATCTGCATTTTAATAAGAAATATGGGTGATTTGTATGCACATTAAGTTTGAAATTCACGGATTTTGTTAGTAATCATTCTGCAATAAAATTTTTACTTATATTTTTACCTTCTATTACCGAATAAAATTTTAAACCATAGGATTATATCCCAAATATCTTTGAGAATCATTACACTAATACAGTATTATTTAAAAACTTGTGCATCTAGTCCAGCCAGATAGCTCAGTTTGTTAGAGCATAATCCTGGTACACTAAGGTTGTGGGTTCAATCCCAGATAAATGGAACAACAAATCGATGTTTCTCTCTCTCTCCCTTCCTCTGTCTCTAAATCAACAAATAAAAATTAAAAAGAAAAACTTGTGCATCCTAATAGCTTTAAAAAGCTTTATTTAAAATTTAATATGACAATATGTTAGGATATTTTAAAATACAAAAATGACAACTATTTCATATTCACTTATTCTGGCTTAGTTGATATCCATGAATAAGTATTGCAAACAAGATGCTCAGTAAAGAAGGTATTCATACAGTTTTGTTTTTTACTATATCAATATTTTTCTATGTATGACTATTTATACTTAATGTAATTTATGATCATGGAACCCTGAGTCTTTCTGGGTTGCTTAATTGTTGATGATTTTATTTTCAGTCGCAGTCTGGCAGAAGCTTGTTCGGATGGTGATGTAAATGCTGTTCGTAAATTACTAGATGAAGGCAGAAGTGTAAATGAACATACAGAAGAAGGAGAAAGCCTGCTGTGTTTGGCTTGTTCAGCAGGATATTATGAATTAGCACAAGTAAGCAGAAGTAATCTTTGGTGATTAAAATTATTGAAGGGTTTTGATGTTTTACTTTATCATTAATAAAAAAATTATAATTATAAGCCAAAGTCTTTCCTTCTTGGCGTAGGTAAAATAGAAACTGATACATAATTAATTTGTTGCCTGTACATGCAACTAGGCATGGTCCATTTTTCTACCACTTACTCAAAACTAGACCTAATGAATAAACACTTAGAAATAATAATATTTTAAACTTTGGAAATAATATGCAGCTATAATAGAAAGTGATGATTTATTTTCATTTTGCCAGATTACCCCAATTCTTTTAAATTTTTCCTCCTGTTGGAGCAATATTGGGAAATAGCCATGTGTTTATCAGTTTCTATCTTGTGAGTGTAGTTTTGCTGTTCTCTTACTAGATAATCCCAAGCATAATACCAATTCTTTGACAAGAGCAGTTCCATTATATAATAGGATGGGTAATGTGATTACATACTTAAAGATTAATATGTAATGGTATTGTAAAAATATAGCATCTAACTTGGTGTTTTGAGCACCAAATGCTGGCATATTTTCCCAAAGGTGATTATTTTTTATTTTTTATTACACCCCCCCCCCCCCCCGCCACACACACACACACACACTATAAAAGAGTATTTTCCCAGATTTAGTATATTCTCTGGAAATAATGTTAATAGTAAGAATTGGTAATTTCTCTGTGTGTATGTGTTTTAAAGGTATTGCTTGCTATGCATGCTGATGTTGAAGATCGAGGGACTAAAGGAGACATAACTCCCCTAATGGCAGCATCCAGTGGAGGTTATTTAGATATTGTGAAATTATTACTTCTTCATGATGCAAATGTCAACTCCCAGTCTGCAACAGGTATATAGAAAATTATGTGTGAATTTGAAAAAGTAAATTGATATAATTAATTATAACCTGAGAGATAAAAATTTGATTCTTAGGGAAAACCAGTTGTAAATCTACAAAAAAATCTTAGCCCTTGTTTAGAATCTGACTAAAATACAGATTAATTTGATATCTTCAAAAGTCTTTAAACCATAATTAGATTCTATTTGGTAAGTTTTTCTGTAGGGGACAGTTTTTTTCTACCACAATTATATGCATTGTTTAAAGAGGCAAAATTATGGACTGTATGTCTTATAATTTCTTTATCTCATTTAGTACAGCTCCCTTGACTTTAGATTATAGATTAACCTGAGACTATTTTTTTTTAATATTTTATTGATTTTTTACAGAGAGGAAGGGCGAGAGATAGAGACTTAGAAACATCTATGAGAGAGAAACCTTGATCAGCTGCCTCCTGCACATCTCCCACTGGGAATGTGCCTGCAACCAAGGTACATGCCCTTGACCGGAATCGAACCTGGGACCTTTCAGTCCACGGGCTGACGCTCTATCCACTGAGCCAAACCGGTTTTGGCTATTTTTTTTTTTTTAATAAGATATTTTTATTGCTTTCAGAGAGGAAGGGAGAGGGAGAGAGATAGAAACATTGATGATGAGAGAGGACCATTGATTGGCTGCTTCTTGCACGCCCCCCACTGGGGATCGAGCCCGCAACCTGGGCATATGCCCTTGACCGGAATCGAACCCAGGACCCGTCAGTCTGCAGGCCGACGCTCCATCCACTGAGCCAAACCGGCCAGGGCACCTGAGAGTACTTTTTATCCATAAGGTTTTTCATGACACATGTACTGAATGCATTTACTAATAAGATATTCTAATGGCAGCATGAAAACTCCTCTAGTAAGGACTACCCTTTTATTTATTAACTAGTAGCCTGGTGCACGAAATTCATGCACATTAAAAGGAAATTAATTGCCCTAACTGGTTTGGCTCAGTGGATAGAGCATCGCCCTGCGGACTCTAGCGTCCCAGGTTCGATTCCAGTCAAGGGCATGTACCTTGGTTGTGGGCACATCACCAGTGGGAAGTGTGCAGGAGGCAGCTGATCGATGTTTCTCTCTCATCGATGTTTCTAACTCTCTACCCCTCTCCCTTCCTCTCTGTAAAAAATCAATAAAATATATATATTTTTTAAAAAGGGAATTAATTAGCAGAGATATTTTAATATTGCTATTTGCCCTTTCTCTGTAATAGAAGTGTGAGAGATGAAAGGAAATTAGTAAAATGTATGTGAAAATAATATATAAATTTATCCTATCTAATAAAGAGGGGATATGCTAATTGACCCTCACACCGTCTCAAAGACAGCGGCACCCACAGCCAATAAGGAGGGAATATGCTAATTGACTGCCCCGCCCTCAGAGATGGCAGCACCCACAGCTGCAAGATGGTGGTGCCCAGTCCCCTCAGCCCTGCTGGGGCGGCAAGGCCGGGCCCGTTCCATGCACCTACCTATGGAGTCCCCCAGTCCCCTCAGCCCCCCAGCCACCCAGCGCCAGCCCAAGATGCAGGCAAGCCTCGGATGGCAGCTGCCCAGCCTCCCAGAGCCGCCCGAGGCTCAGGTAACCAGGGCTGGCCGAGGCTTGCGCTGCCGGCAGTGGCAGCAGCACAGGTGTGATGGGGCGTCACCTTCCCCTGATCTCCAAGTCGCCTCCCATCCCTGAGGGCTTCCAGACTGTGAGAGGGGGCAGGTCAGGCTGAGGGACCCTCCCCTCCAGTGCATGAATTTTCATGCATCAGGCCTCTAGTGTGGTCATAAAAAGAATTCACACCATGACAAAGTATAGTTTATTCCAAGAATGGTGGTTTAAATAAAAACAACAGTGATGCAAACAATGACTGATAAAGTGATTAAACTTATTCTAATATCTCCCTGTATACCACATTAAGAGTGAAAACATTTTCAGAGTGCTTGACTAGTTTCTCTTGTGATGAAGTATTTAGAACTTTAACTATAACGTCACATGGTCTTCAAACTGGACAGAAAGCAACATATACTGACCATGTGTGAAAACGGGTTCAGTTAGGAATATGCCTACTCTGTCTAGAGTTTGTCCTTGTGATTTATTAATAGTCATCACAAATGCTGGCATCACGGGAAACCGTCATCGAATCAATTTAAATGGGAGGCCAGTGTCAGATGGGGACAAATTAATTCTTGGAATCAGAACAACCTCTCCCTCTGCAGATCCTGTTAATACTTCAGCTTCGATAATGTTAGGTCGTAATCTTTTGATAATAAATCT